GTATGAGATGCGAAGACTTTTAGCCCTACTCCTTTTGGGTTATTTATGGCCCCCACTTTGAGAACCACTGTCATTTAGTATTAATTTATACAAAATTAAAAGAGCTCTTAAAACTTTAGGCATTCAACTTCCAACATCTAATAATAAGGAATTACTGAGGGAAAGTACATGCAATACTTATAATAGAAAATTACCTTAAAAACTCATTTGACTTTTTTTTTTTTTTTGGTACCGGGAATCAAACTCAGGAACTTGTGCTTGCCAGGCAGGCGCTCATGCCACTGAGCTATACCCACAGTCCTCATTTGACTCTCAAACCCAATGTCAGTGTCATTAAACATGACATTGAGGTGAGCTAAATATTCCAAGTGCTGTAACCTTGTTTGCGTTAATTTGATTAGAAATATTTGGTCCCTGTTATCTGAAGAAAAAAGTTCATATAATACCTTCCCTGTACATAGCCTATCTCTGATATCTCATTAGTGAAGACCATGTTGCTGTGCATTCAACTGCTCTAGAGCCTCAGAAAACAGGGTGGAAGATTATGGAAACAGCAAATTCTGAAAATATAATAAACTCAATAATCGACTTTGCATTAATTGGTAACTTATAGCCCCATTTGATTATGTGCTACAGAATTAGATCAAGTACCCTGATTTGATGACTGTATAAAGATGGAGCACAATTCAAGATAGAAATCCTTTGTGTGTATGTGTGGTGCTGGTAATCAAACCTACGGCCTCATGCATTCTAAGCATGCACTCTTCCTGAACGACAGACAACCCCTGACCCGAAGTAGAAACTGGAAACTAGGGTTATGTGGACATATTTCAGAGCTGCTTGAAACCAACTGTAAAACTGAGTCTGTGTGTGTTTGCATGACATGTATTTCTGTGTGGAAAGTGTCCATGGCTTTTGCCCAATTCTGAAAGGGGCACATGGCTGATCTGAGATTTAAGCCAACCTCATGGGATTTAAAACACTGACCTTGTTGTACTCCATCTTACTCCCCATTTCTTTCTTCTCAATAGTGTTCACAAGCATGGTATCTTTTGGTAGTGAGAATTATGAAGTAGATTTAAAAGCTGGATTGGGCAGCACTAGAAAGACTCCATATAATAAATATATTTTTCAATTGATCAACAAGAACTATAGTGTCAACAGTCTTTGAAGCAATCATATTAATGCAAAGTTGTTTCAGGTGACAGATGAATGGACAGATGTTTCCAAGACTTTCAGGTGTGTAAGAAGTAGAAATTATCATAAGTTCATTTCAAGTTGAACTATTTAAAATTTAGAAATAGTTGTTCCAGTGGTTCTGTTAAGATAATCAGAGTGAGGCAATGATAGTGACTGCAAATCTGAAGTTGTCTTTGAATCAACACAGCTAATAGGATAGACATATAAGAGGAAAATTAATTTTATCTCAACAGTACCACAATTTTTAAAGATTGAAGATGCACAGCTATAAAATAGAAGGCCTTGACATTTAGAGATGATAATCATGTGAAAAAGAATTTAAAATGTTGGTGCTTCCTACCTCATCTCGGGTCCCTCCTCAGTATGCGCTCTTAATTTTGTTAAATCTCATAGGACCCCCATCTCTCACAACCCTTTAGCCTTGCCACCCAGCTTCTGTGTGATTCAGAAGCAATTTCAGGTTTTCATTTGTATGAGTTCCTTCAGAAACACATTATGATAAGCAGTGCCTTTAGTTGTCCAGGGTAATTTATGAATGGTAGGAGGGTAGACTGTTAAGTGTAATTTAATGATAAGTTTTGACTAACTGGTAACTTCATTCTTTAACGTTCCAATGCAAAATTTTGCTTTCCCAGTACAGTGAATTGTGTATTTTCATTGAAATTTTTACATGGTAAAGCTAGGTTTATTTTCACTTGCAAGCATTAGCAGGATCTGAGTCTGAAACGGGGCTAATTTATAAAGTTCATTAGAGCACTTCAGATAAGGTTCATGTGGAAAATGTCTTTCAAAAGCATAAATATATTCAAATATTTTCATTAAAAAAGTTGGCTTAAAATGTACTTTTTATCATAAGTTCTCCACTCCTCTAATATTGGTAAACACTGAAACATGCTACTATGTGATCATTGGTCATCATGTGTCAATTGACTTGAGTAAGAATCACCTACCAAATTAGTAAAACACAGTTCTGTGTATGTCGTCTGTGGATGACTGACATGTAGGCAAGTAAACTGAGGGGAAAAAACTCATCCTGGATTTGGGTGTCATCAACCAATAGGCTTGAAGTCTGGAAGGAATAAAAAGGAAAAGAAAAAGGAAGTATTCTGTTTGGGAAGAGCTCCAATCTTCACCACCATCTTTAGACATTGATTTCCAGATTCTTCAGCCTTCTAGCACATACTTGCACTGGTGATTCTACAGTGAGTTTGCAGGGCTTTGATTCAGACTGGGGCTGCATCACTGATTTCTTTTGTTTCGAAGCTTCTATCTTCTTGGGCTGAGCAGCCACTGGATCTGTGGCTTCACAGTGTGCATTGGTCCATTGTGAATTCTTCTGCCTGTCATCCTGCAAGCTTACTTGCTAAATCCTCTCGCATAATTTTATATATATATATATAAATATAATATATATATTTTATATTGATTCTATTTCTCTATGGAACCCTAATATGACAATGACTATTTTAATATTCAATGGTAAACTAATTTTTCAATGTCACTGTATGTGGTGAGAAGATATCAAAAATTCTGTTGCTTATAACATAAACAAAATGCATTTCAATATGTTTACTTTTCCTGTGTAAAGCATTATACATATATCCATACTCACATCTATACCTCTAAGCTGAAGTTTCCTTTTAAACATCTATGCCAAAAATTTTCTTGGTAACCTTACCTCACATAAGATGCTTGTATAAAGGTGTTTAGTGCTTTTTTTCATCTAGAAAGAAATTCGTTGTCTTTTCCAGTTATAGCATTTTTTACTTTGTGTTTGTGATGTGAATTCAAGCTGTTTGTAACTGATGAGCTGTAATGTATGAAATGGAAGTTTCAGCAGACATATTTGAGGTCTTTACCCAGGACATTTTGGAATAAAACGAGTGTGATCTATTACTATTTAGGCAGAGAGTCACCAATGACTCCTGAACTTTCAATGACTTCTGCTTTCTTGGTTTGCTAAATGGGACTCTTTCTCCATTGTCTGTAAAAGGCTTTCTGTGCAAATGGTGCATTACTTGAGGAAACACTTACTGGGGGCTTGCTTAATGAGGGTTTCTTCAAATATTTTTCTGAGTGTAATATATGATTCAGGAGCAAGTGGGCTACCAAGTTCTTTTCTCAGGACCAATGTATGCTTTTTTCAGATGACAGAAAAATAAATACCTTTGGCAAAATACCTTTAGAAAAAGGTTAAGGTTAAGGTTACCAAGAAAATTTTTTGTAAGGTTACCAAGAAAATTTTTGGCATAGATGTTTAAAAGGAAACTTCAGCTTAGAGATATAGATGTGAGTATGGATATATGTATAATGCTTTACACAGGAATAAATACCTTTAGAAAAAGCAAATCCAGGGGCCGCTTCACTCTTAAATACATAAAGAAAATTCCTTTTTCTTTTTACTTATCCTAATGATAGATGTGTGAGGCTGAACAGAGACTGAAAACGATAAAGTGCCATTAGGCTGATCAGTTTTCTACCTAAAAGCCATTGTTTATTTCCCAACGCATACTCATGTAGGAACAGAAGAAATACTGACACATGGAAAGGGATGCTCAGAAGATGAAATGTTACAGAGGAGTCTACATATCACACATACCAAAAACCTGGGAGTGAATAAACTTGAGTATGCCTGTATGAAATGAGATGTACAGAAACTTCCGTCAGAGTAGTAAAAAACGTAGGCTTAGCTAACATTGTTCAGCAAAACCATAATATAGAAAATGAACAACAATTTTATGCACATACTTTTAATAAATGATGTAGGAAGATAATGCTGGCCAGCATTTGTCAATATTCCTGCAGTAGGACACATGGTTTTAAGAACACTATATACAGTTACTTTTGAGCAGATTGATGGAGAAAATGATTTGTAGCAAATTGGCAACTTGAGTTTAACTGCTGAGGTTCCCAGTGCTTTTCTTTTTCTGGCTCTCCAAAGCATTTCATATATTATCAAGACCCAGTCTCAGCTGTCCTGCTGTGTTCCTTCACTGATTTAGCCAGCAGGGTGAAAGCAATTATTCCCCAAACACATCTTACCTTTTTTTTTTCTTTTAATGCTATTTCCTACTAAGAATCTATTATCTGTTTTAACTCATTCTGCTGATGGCTGCGTACCAGGCTGTTCCAAAGAAAACATTTAACGGTTTTAAATACCGTGCAGGACACAGCCCTAACCATTTTGGAGAAGTAAACAAGTCATGGGTTACATGCTTTTAGAACCCACCCAATAATTATTATATTACATAACAGCCACATGCAGATGGTTACAATTTAATATGGTACATTACAGCTATGATTTAGGGAATGCAGATGTACCATACCTTCTCAATTATTTCCTACTGAATGGATGGAGCTCATGAATTTGCTGAGAACACAGGACATATGGGAGGGTCTGATGATCTTGTTAGATGCTTTCTGTGCCTCTGCACAGAACGTGTCTCTTGCATCAGCTGAGCCTCTTAGCCATTCTGATAGCAGAAATTTTAAAATGTATGAAAGAAACCTTTTTCAATTGCTATGATTTTCGGACTTTTTTCAAAAGAAAGGACAGAAGGTCACTCCTTAATGTATTTGCTGCTTGTGATCAGGCAGCCCTCTTGGGGAGATACTTAAGAAGTGTGTGTGAACATACATATGAGGGACTGTTTTTGCAGTGCTGAGTTTGAGCTCAGGGCCTTCACACTGAGCTACATCTCCAGCCCTTTATTTTTTTAATTTTTGAGGCAAGTTTTCATTAAGTCACTAAGTTGCCTAGATTGAGTTTGAACTTGAGATACTCCTGCCTCAGCTTCCCAGAGTTCAGGGATTATAGGCATGCACTATCACACCAGGCTGTGCATGTGCATGTGAATATACATAAATATATATGATGTGATGTGAAAGAGATAGGCTTTAAATGGTTTATATTCCTGTGTATTGGGGCCTTGTTACATTTTAGGTCTGAATTAATAATCAACATTCATACTCTATGACTGCTTGAATCTCTGTTAATTTAAATGACTAGAGTCTGTGCAATTAGGCAAAAACTTGGGGAAGCACATTGTTTTCCTGGCAGAAATAGCCCTGAGGTTGGGCTTTACTGGTGCTACAGGAGATTATGGCCCTGGCCAGTGCCATATATTGAGGAATTTATGTGTCACACAAGGCCAATGGGAAAAGGGGGCACATACGGAATTAAAAAATAAGAGTTCTATAAATTTCATACTTTAATATTCTGGGCAAAGTTGGGCTATTTTGAAATGTGATCCTATCTTCATTGTTATCAGTGTTCTAAGCTGCTCTATGCTGATTCCAGTACTAGGATGTCAAGTCGTTGTGTACTGGACCCTGCAACCATAAGCACATCTATGCGCTTTTGGATAGCATTACATCTCTTTCTTACACTTAATTTTTCCAGCTCTACCACAGGAAAAATAATTTCTATTCTGTCTCTTTCCAAGAACATTGCCATAACAAATAGAGGAACATTAACAAAGTACTCTAAGCTGTCCAAGCAAAGTCAGCAATGAAAGAGTAGAAGAAAGACTAAAGCATGTTACTTAGAAATACCATTATGGTTAAACTTTCCACCCCAGTACTGCAATTAAAGAAATATAAGAGCACTAGGGAGTTACATAGCACCTTTCAGATGTAAGACCTTAACAATGAGTACTTTCATGTTGCAAACAGGAAAAAAGATTACCATAAATGAAGGAATAAGATCCCACAGATGTTATTGGACGAGGTTCCATTGAAAAGAAAGACAAGGAGCCAGATCACGGCAGGCTTATTATTAAATAAACCTGTCTATCTTCTTGATGGATAATCAACCAGTTGAATGGCTATGCAGAATGCGCAATACTCAAATGATCCACAGATAGGGATTTTATCATTCTACAAACTAATAAGATCAAAGTGCTAAGATAGCGATAGGGTTTCTTTTTTGTCCAAGTCCTGCAGTAAAACTCTGATTTATCTGACCTTTTGGAAAACAGCAAATAGGGTTAAGGTTAGACACTAAACAATCAGCCTTGCATTATAGCTATCCAGAGCTTTACCTTTCCAGTGATTCCCTTCAGTTTGCTGACACTGTTTTTGTGATCTAATTTGTGAGGACACTCAGTGTTGATACACTCTATGCAGCAGAGAAATTCTTCATGCCTTTCTGACTTTGAATCATATATAGCAGCTGCTCTGCCTAAACTCTTAGCAGAAGGTGACAGATGGGAAAGAGGAAGATTGCTTAGAGGCCTACTAGCTGTGGAGTAAGCAATCTTCCTCCTTTTATAGAAAGGTATATTTGTATAGGAATAGAAACCAAAACTTGTCCACCATAAAACCATGCAGACAGCTAAATAAGCTTTTGAGAGAAACCTGAACAAGAGAAGTGTTTCAGAAAGAGAATGGACGGAAGGAAAATCTTTCAATTCGAACATATAAGATTTCATCAAGAAATACCGTGTATAAAGTCTTTTAGGCTGTTCCTTAGCTTCTGAGTTTGAGACAAAACCCCTTACTTCTGCTCCTAATAGATTTAGTCATATTTAGTATTCTCTGCAATGAAATGCTGACCAAAATCCATTTATTTTATGCTAAAAGTCTTACTTTAGTCAAAAGTATTTGTGGGGTCTGAATAAACAGGTTTTGTTATTGTTTTAAGTAGCTGGATTGCTCACTTTCTCGGTTGCACTGGAACCTTAACAATGACTTATCTGGGGCAGGCAACTAACTTTCTTTTTCAGTCAAAAAGATTTCAGGAAGCTAATTTAGTAAGTCAAACCATCCTACCAGAGGTTCAATTCTTTGATATCTGTAAGATACCTCTAACTTCCACTGATCTCTGTAAGAGTTGGGGGTTTAATTGTCAGCAGCTGGGAGCTACAGCACTGGTTAAAATGTGAAAAACATCAATACTCTTAAGTATTATTCTAAAGAAGCATCATTAGTCTCCATACTCATTGATTCAGGCACTGGGACTGAGAGAAAGGATGATTATAAATAAATGGGGAAATGGATATAAACTATCTTAATGGCTGAGCTGCCACTAAAACTTAAAAAAAAGAACTGACATATTACTGTTCAGTTATCACTATCTGTACATTAACTCCTGCTGGGAAACTGCAGATCTTCTGCTAACCCTCAGCTAATGTCAGCTGTGAAACTTTACCCCTTTGAACAGGACTGTAATTACACCTGAAAATCACCCTTAAAACCTTTATAAAACTGGTGGTCCACAACTTAGGCTTATTATTTTTCTTTCATCATCATAAAAGTAATATATGAAGATTAAAGTAAAGCTAGGCAGCAGAGGAATGAATAAAAATAACTGGAGAATCTTACCACAGCCTAGTGTTAAGTCTTTAAAACATTAATTTTTATGTTTAAAAAAGTAGAAATCTAATCTGATTCGATTTGATCTTGTATATCACCTATAATGCTTCCAGGAGCCTCTGTGAAAATTCTCAATTTGAGGTCTTTGGTCACAATGTACTGAATCTTCCTCTCAAATTTTAGATATCTGACATGGGGAAAGTTGAAAGCTCAGCAAATATATAAATTTCTCTTTAGGAGAGAAGCATGATTAATTAAAGGCTCTGTTTTTTTAACCTTAATTTTTATGACATTATGGCAGAATTTTGTATAGCTATGCTGCAAAATACATGTTCATAAATGCACATGCACACGAACAGCAAATGTCTTCCAATTCCCCTCGTTACCAAATAGACCCTGTAGATGTGATAGTCTTTCTGGGAGAATTAAGGCTCAAAAGAAATCTTTTAAGTTCTCTTTTGCCTGAAAGGATGATTGTAAAAATATATGTTTTACAGGGCTTTCATGGATTGGGAAAAGAGTAAGAAAGAAAAAGAAATTAGTTTAAAAGTAATTGTTGCTAAACTGGAATTTAGTCAGTAAATTAAATAATATTTAAAGTCCTGACACATCTGCACAACAAGTATTTGATGAAATGCTTTGAATTTCTGAAGATTTCAGTCCAATATGGTGAGTTGTTTTGAAGATTAGAATGGCTCCCAACACTGAATTCTGTAAGTCTCATGGGAGATGATGGGTCCTGGGAATGAAAAGAAGAAATTCATTGGTGAGCTGAACAATTGCAAAAATTTATAAAGTGACACTAAATTAATAAAAGTATGTAACTGTTGAAAATTATGTTCACAAAGGGTAAGATGCAGTATCAAAAAATGTTAAGTAAAAAGGCAGCCCTTTTTATTTTTAAATTTTGAGACAGGGTCTTCCTAAATTGCCCTTAAACTTTTTACACTCTTGTCTCCCTCCTGAATAGTTGGGGTTACAGGCATGTGCTACCACTCCCAGTTGTTATAGTTATTTTCAACTCAAAAATTGTATCTGGAACTAAAAACAGTAAATTCACAAAGTTGTTGAAAGTGGTGGACTTGAGTAATTTATCTTCATTTTCCTTACTTTCTACTTGTACTGTCTTCATTTTCTTCAGTAAATGGAGAATAATTTGTTGATTTAAAAATGTTTATTTTGGGGGGCTGGGGATTTAACTCAGCGGCAAAAGCGCCTGCCTGGCAAGCGCAAGGTCATGAGTTCGGTCCCCGGTACTGGAGAAAAACCAAAAAAAAAAAAAAAAAAAAAAAAAAAAAAAATTTTATTTTGGAAATCTATATGGAAATAACATGAGCTTTGAAACTGAACAATTCTGAATTTTAATTCTAGCTTTGCCACCTTCAATTCAGTGACTCTGGCCAAATAACATCAAAGGACCTTAGTTTTCTCATCTGTAAGATAAGCATAATAAAATCTACCTGAAGGAATAGATATAATAGACACACAATTAGCTATTATTAGTATAAACTTTGTGGAAATCTATTCAGTCACATACTTTGAGTCTTTAAAAAGTTCATAACAGTAATTTGACTTCTCAGATTGTATCCTACAGAAATGGTTACAAATGAGGGAAAAGATTTCTTCTCAATGCTCGTAGCCTTATCAATAGTAGTGAAAAATCAGATAAGATCTTAATGTTGGACAGTAGAGAAATGGTTCAATAAGCAACATATCCTTGGTGTAATGGGGAATTCTTTTGGTATTATTAAAAAAATTAAAACAGAACATAATAACATCTCAACTTAAAATTATACCTATGGAAAATACTAGAAAGTATACAAAAATGTTAATTCATTGTCATTAGGTGGTAGGAACATGAATGACTTTAATTTTTTTCATAGGTGTTTGTCTCTTTTTCTTGTTATGTTTCACATAGCTTCAAAATTAATTCTAACAGGCATTATTATCTTCTGATTTTAAAGTAACACATTTCTTCGCAGAATACTTGGAAAGTATAAAAAGGGATAAAGTAAAATAATGGCCTATTATCTCACTGACTCTTTTTATCTCCTTTCTTATCCATTCATTCAGGAAATCCTTATTGAATACTTATTTATCAGACATTGTGCCTTAGGGGCTGGTACTAAAATGTGATCAAAATGTAATTACTATCCTGAAAGAGTTGACAATCCAGTGTGGTACATAGACAATGAAATAGACTATTACTATACAGAATAAAAGTCTCTTGTATAGAGTTACGGTAGTACCTAGAAGGGAGATATATATATACAGTGGGGGCTAGTCAATGATGAATAAGTGATATGGAATTTGAAACCTGGAACCTAAATATTATCTAGCCAGCTTGGGGATGGGGGATGGGGGATGGGGGTTGGGAGTTGGGGGTGGAGGAAATAGGAAGTTGCAAAGCAAGCATCCAAGTCATGGAAAAGAGCAGGCACACGTTTGTGAGACTGAAAGAAGTAGAGTGTGGTTCAAGCATAGAGTGTGGGGATAACGCTGGTGGAGGGGAATTTCAGAGATGAGAATAATGAAAGATGAGCCTGGAAAGATAAATAGATGCTGGATCATAAAAGGATTGTAAACCTTGCTAAGGAGTTCAGGTTATGCTGAGAGCAATGGAAAAACCATGAGCAAATTTTGAGATTTTCGTCTTTCTAGTTCCACTACAGAGAATGGATTGGAAGTTGAACATAATTGGAGACAGGAAGACCAGTTATGAGTCTACTGCATAGGTGGCATGTGATCTAGGAGGTCACTATAATTAAAACAGAAAAATATACATCTCCCCAAGATATCTAGAAATTAAAATAAAAGCAATGGTGATTAATTAGATGTAGAGTGGGTGAAGAAGAGAAAGCAACACAAGAAATGGATACTCCTGACAGGGGGAAAGAGAGAGGGGGGAGAGAGAGAGAGAGAGAGAGAGAGAGAGAGACAGAGAGAGAGAGAGAGACAGAGAGAGAGAGAGAGAGAGAGAGAGAGAGGGAGGGAGAGAGAGAGAGAGAGATTGGAGTTGAAAGCAACTTGGTTATTCAAGTTTGTAGCTCAGGAGAAAATGCTGGGCTGGAGATATATATTCAGAACTGATCAGCACATATATGGTCATCAGCCAAATAATAGATAGATTCCACGATGAATAAGTAAACCTAGCAACATTTTGGAATATACTCTCTTAAGGATATTTCTCATGGTAGAAGAGAGGAAGGAAGGTATAAGAAATTTGAGAGAAACATAAGAAGAAGTTTTTATTTTTTAGTTTAATTTATATGTGTGCATGTTTGTGTGTGTTGCTAAGGATCAAACCTAAGAATTTCTGCATCCCAGGTCTGCTTTAGTTTTAAAATTTAAATGCATCTAAGATTGATCAAACACTTAAACATTAACTATTCCCTTCAACAGAGCAATTAAGTCAGTAGTACAACTATGCTAGCTCTCCTGTGTATACATATATACAGCAACCATTGTTAATTTCCTATCACCTTGTCTGAAATTCTGCATTGCTTGTATTGCTTTTGTGTTATTTTCTAAATGTATGTGTGTTTGTTAATATGTTTCATTCTTTTATCTTTAAAATAAAAATATAAAATTTAAAAACAGAAAAATTGAGAGCTTGGTGTACAGGACTGTGAGCTTTTACACATGCATAGAATCTTGTAACAGTCATCACAGAATGCACAGCCTCCCCTCAATCTTAACCCTGGCAACCACTAATGTGTTTTAGCTCCCTGTATTTTTGCCTTTCTGAAATGTCATACAAGTGGAATGCTACAATATGTAGCCATTTTTCCCAATTTAAATGTATAAGGTTTTCAATTTTTCTGCATTCTTTTTAGTAGCTGATATCATCACAATATTTCTTTAAAAAATACCCATTCTAGAATAGGTATGATGAAATCTTTTTATGGTTTTAATTTGCATTTTCCTAATAGTTAAAGATGCTTGCCATCCTTTCTTGGGCTTATTTCCTATTTCTAAATCTTTTTTGATGAAGTGTGCATTCAAACTCTTTGCCCATTTTTTTATTGTGTTGAGATTTTTCCTCTTAAATTTGAGCTTTCAGCACATTTAACATACTATGCAAATAAGTCCTTCATCAGATATGACTTTTGCAAAAACTATCTCCAAGTCAGTGGCTTATCTTTCTATTCTCCTAACAATGTTCTTTACAGATCAAATGTTTCTAATTTTGGGTGAGTCTAATTGAAAATATTTTTCTTTTGTGTCTTTAATGTGATGTCTAAGAACTCTGCCTAAGTCAAGGTAATGAGTTACCACCTATGTTTTCTTCTAAGTTTTTTTTATAGTTATACATTTAAGTCTGATCCATTTGGGGATAAATTTGTATATGTTATGAGGTGTATTTGGTGTGATAATGTCCAGTTTTTCCAGCATCATTTCTTGAAATGACTGTATTTTCTCCATTCAATTGACATTATATTTTTGTATAAAAATCAGTTGGCTATCTTTATGTGGGCCCACTTCTGTACTTCATTTTTCAATTCTGTTTCCCTTTTATTTCTCAATTCTCTTTAGTTCATGGGTCTATCCTTTTACCACCAGCATACTATTTTGACTTCTCCAGCGTTAAAATATATTTTCAAATTGTATAGTTTGAGTCCTCTGACAGCATTTTTCTTCTTTAAAATTGCAGTTGGCCATTGTAGTTTCTTTACTTTCCCATATATATTTCAGAATCAGCTTATTTATATCTACAGAAACTCTTGCTGTAATTTCAATTTGGATTGAATTAAATCTACATACCAATTTGAAGAGAATTTATATCTTTCCTTTCATTTAGTCTTTTTTAGTCCTCTTCATCAGTGTTTTATAGATTTCAGCATGAAGATCCTGTATTTGATTTGTTATATTTATACCTAGCTATTTAATTTTTGGAACTATTGTAAATGGTATTAAGTTTTTAATTTGGATTCACAAATGTAAATTGTTACTTTATAGAGACATAATACATATTTATGTGTTGACCTTGTGTGCTAAACTCATTTGTTCCCTTGGATTTTTCAGATTCTTCAGATTTCTACATATACAGTCATATCATATGCAAACAGGGATAGTTTCATTTCTTCCTTTACAATTGGAATGCCTTTGATGTCCTTTTCTAGCCTTAATACATATGTTAGGAATTTCAATACAATCTGGTATCAGAATGATACAAAAAATGGGTGAAGTGTGGTCAATGGAGTAAAGAACTACCAATAATCAGGTAAGTCATAGAGATGTATCAGATCAGTTGAGGCTGATGTTATTTGTAATAATCAATGCTCATAATCCATTTTGTCATTTTTGTGGTAGTTCTCAGCAGCTTGGATATAGGAGTGGAGAGAGAACTCAGATTGAATCTGAATTTTGAGTTTTTACTGGTTATGGTAATGGAGTTCCAAAGATTAAGAATATTTGCAAAAGAGAAGTTGAAGTATTTAGGCTTATGAAGCAAGTAGCCCTATAGGTCAATGGAATAGCACAGAACGCACAAACAACTGATGCATCTCCAATCACCTGATTTTTGACAAAGGAGACAAAATCATAGGGGAAAAGATAGCCTCTTTAACAAGTGGTGCTGCAAAAAACTGGTTATTCACATGAAGAAGATTGAAGCTAGATCCATATTTCTCACTGTATGCTGACATAAAATAAAAATTAATCAAAGAACTAAATAACAAAAACAGAACCTTTGAAATCGATGGAAGATAATATAGGGTTAACATGTGGAACCAAAGT